CCACCCTCCTTACCTCCATCCACCTCCTTCTCGATCTCTATCATCCCTCCCCCCCCCCCTCCCCCTCTCCCTCTCCGAATCTCTTTTATCCCTCTCTCTACAAAGCCAACCCGCAGTTTCCCTTACCTTCAGTACAGGAAGCGACCGTAATCGTCACTGTTACTACTGTCATACAACAATTCCAGAATTACAAGTGACGGTCGCAGAAACACTGACTTCTGAAGGACGGAGCGTGTTTAGGTCGACTAAGTTACCGCAGCCAAGTAGAACACGACCTTGAGGGGGGGGCGGGGGTGTTCTTTACGTGTTCAACTCGGTGTTCGTCTGGTCGTGGCGTTATCTGACTGAACATGAAATTGATTATCATACATTATATATATTACTATATATATGATATATATTACTATATGTATTTCTGTGTTTTTTTGTTTTTTTGTTTTTATCCTGTGATGAGGTTTGTTTGGTTAACGAGTCTTATCTGATTCGGTTTATATGTTGTTCGGTATTTTTTTATGTAAATGTTGTTGTGTCGATATATTTAGTTTTTGTATCGTTTTATTTGTTTTATAGTCTTACGATTTTAATATTGGAATATATATATATATATATATATATATATATATATATATATATATATATATATACAACCATCTCTGTGTGGTTATCTGACTGAAGTTGTATTCAGAGATTGTTTGTTTATCCGAAAATAGTTCGTATGTCGACACCTTGTTGTGGTGGTCGTATCTACGTTGCAATGACTGACTATATATGCATGTGTTTGTTTCTTTTATCCAATGACTTGTGCCTTCATCTTGCTGTGATGTTTGTGTATTCATGGCGTCATCTGACTCCTCTGTGCATGTGTTTGATTATCCACTTATGTATGTCGTCACCTTGTAGTGAAAGCTATGGCGGTTCGAGCATCCATCTCTCTCTAATTAACATAATTATGATCCGCTTTTGGGATGCCATATCTATGTCATGCTGACCTTAGATTATTTGATTGTTTTGTTCATGTACGATTCAGATTTAGTGGTTAGTTTTAATTGTTCTTCCTGTTTAATCGATTTAGTCATATGTTCATAATCCCTTTTCATCATTCAAATGTACCCTATTGCAACCATTCTCTTACGCAACCGTGAATTTGCTTTCCCCATTGTGACATAACCTTCCTGTGAGTAATGTGTCCTTTTTCCATGATTACAGCGCGGTCACTCAACCATCTTCCCATACAATCACGGAATAGCTAAGCCTTTGGTTCTCAGACGTTTCCCCTCCTGGCAACCGCATGAGCTGTAAGTGCATGGTATGATATGTGCCGATCGGTTATGCTGTTAACACTCAATTGTCTATTTTAAAACATCTGGGATTATGATTTGATTACCAGTGATTACTTGTGGAGTAAGATTTTTGTCAGTGTGTTGTTAATTTATTTAACTATTTGACAAGAACTTTGCATGGGATTAAGACCTTCCTGTTTACCACTAAGATTAAGGAATCCCAATTTAAGATGCTTTTTATTCCCGTTGTTATTGCTCTGTTAATAGGCCTGTTATCTCGGTCTTAATTATGGCAAACGACCTTGTTCACTATTTTAGGCATAAGTTTCACTATGATTTTTAGATAACCCAGCTCTCTCTGTCTATTGTTATTTGATGTTCTATGTGGTTGTTCTTCGATGTTGATATGTTCTCGTCGTTGTGTTATTTATCTTATTGTCGTTCGTTATTCTTTTTGGTCTATAGAGGCCAGTATTTTTTAAATGTTCATTTCGTTAAACGATTATTATCTTTTATGTTATCAAATAAACTGTTTGTCTTATAAGGAATGTATCATATATAACCACCGTCCTTATCTTATTAAAACCCTACTCGAACTATCACAGTCTCAACAAAATTCCTGTACTTCTTCAAAACTGCCTGGCCATCCCTGATCTATGCAGCTTGTTTGGGTAGAAAGAGAGAGAGAGAGGGAGAGAGAGAGGGAGAGAGAGAGAGGAGAGAGAGAGGGAGGGAGAGAGGGAGGGAGAGAGAGGGAGGGAGAGAGAGGGAGAGAGGGGAGAGAGGGGAGGGGAGAGAGAGGGAGGGGAGAGAGAGGGGGAGGGGGATGGGAGAGAGGGAGAGAGGGAGAGAGGGAGCGAGGGAGCGAGGGAGCGAGGGAGCGAGGGAGAGAGGGAGAGAGGGAGAGAGAGAGAGAGAAAGTGACTGGCAAAGAAGGAGATAACGTCGACCAAGTAAGACCAAGAAACGAAGACAAAAGGAAGGACACAGAAACGCTACAAAGAAGATAACAAGTGAAAGAACAACAATAACAAAACAATAGATAGCGATAAACAATGGCTCTTTCCCCGCCACCCCAAAAATACAGCTCAGTCTAACCGTCGATCCATGATATAACGACATATGCTTCGGTAAACAGTATATTCTCTCGAAATATCAACTTTCGACATACTTTCCCTTGGTAAGCGAAGGATATAATCAGATCTGTGACAATGCAGAAGCGGAAACATTTTGTGGCCAAAGATTTTTTGTTCTTCCTTTCTTTTTAATGGTTGTTTCCCTTTTTATTTCTCCAAAAGTGAGTATTAGACGTTACTGAAATAGGGTATTGAGTAATGATGAGTGTGATGATGGGTGCGTGTTTATGTATCAAGTATGGAAGCATGTATGTATGCGTGTACATGTACGTATATGTATCATAGTTCGTAAAGTCTAACGACGAAGAATATTGATTACCTCTGTAAACAATAACCCATTTTCTGAAAGGGAAAGTGAGCATCTCCAAGCACTGTGAAGAGAGGAAGCCAAACCGTTAAAAAAATGCTTTATCTTTCTTTCTTTCTTTCTCCTATTGTGAAGTTTAGGTTCATTTATTAGATGGTTCACGCCATGAGCTGATAAGCATCACAAAGAAGTCGGAATTTTGTCCGCCCAGGTAGTGTGTTTTGCACGCGCATTTTACAGAGACGGATTTCTCTTCCAGTTTAGATAATCTGTCACCCGGATTCGTCTAGGCTACATTTCACTTCCCCGAAAGTAATCAGATGGGAAGTGTCTAGTCATCTGCTTTATATGTGGACCTTTAGCGTTGATAATTGGTTCAGGAGACATTTCACCGCGACGAAAATTAACTAGATGAAGGATTGACGCTTGTCTTCCCTATACAGGCCTGCTACACGTAGTACTGTCTATGAGATTTTGGTAGAGTGATGCCATGGTTTGAGGTCAAACGTGTTTCTAACATGTCTCTCCGACAGGTATGCTGTGGGGACCCGGCACGTGGCTCGTTGGCGTGGCGCGGGAGGAGCGGTGACCACGCCTTCGCCTTCACAAGATGGTGCGCCCAAACGCCCACCATCACCTCCGCCTCCACCGCCCAGGCGCCCATGCCGCCAGTGCTGGCCACACCACCACGCCGCCCGACGCGGGAATCGAGCTTGAGCCGCTGGTGGAGGACGAGAGGGGCCCCGGCGAGGCGGCGCTGAGGCCGGAGCGCCGCTACCAGGCGAGTGCCAGCCGCGCCCGGGCCGAGCAGTCATGCACATACAAACAGACATATATGCATACACACTATATAATATATATATACACACACACGCACATGCACACGTACACGCACACCCACACCCACACGCACACCCACACCCACACGCACACCCACACCCACACAGCACACCCACACCCACACGCACAAACACACGCACACGCACACATACACGCACACGCACACGCACACTCACACTCACACTCACACACTCACACTCACACACACACACACACACACACACACACACACACACACACACACACACACACACACACACACACACACACACACACACACACACACATACACATATATATATGTATATATATGTCTATGTGTGTGCGTGTGTGTATGTCTATATCTATCTATCTATCTATGTATCTATGTATATATATTTATATATATACATATAAATATATACACACATTGGCGCGCACAGTGTCTCATGATAAAAAATTAATTTACCCCCCTTATTAAAAAAAAAAACAAAAAAACAATGAAGGCTTGTCGAGCACGCCCTTCCCTCGGAGCGAAGCAGCCCAGTAACGCGCCTCGCCTTGCAGGTCGGGCGGGACACGCGGGCGGGGAGGTGCGCGCTGCCTCACGTGGGCCTGTTCATGGCGGTGCTCTCGTCCCTCTTCTTCTCGCTCTGCTCGCTCATCGTCAAGGTCAGTTGCATGGGCGGGATGTGTTTTGCTGTTTTTGTTATTGTGCTATCATTAACATTAACATTAACATTATCATTATCATTATCATTATCATTACCATTATCCTCCTCCTCCTCCTCCTCCTCCTCCTCCTCCTCCTCCTCCTCCTCCTCATCATCATCATCATCATCATCATCATCATCATCATTATTATTATCATTATCATTATCATTATCATTATCATCATCATCATCATCATCATCATCATCATCATCATCATCATCATCATCATCATCATCATCATCATCATCATCATCATCATCATCATCATCATCAACATCAACATCAACATCAACATCAACATTAACATCATCATCATTAACGTTAACATTACAGTTACCACTAACCATTGTCATTACCACTTACCATTAAGCATTACCATCACCCTTATCATCACAGTTATCGCTACCGAACTTTTAACCTCAACATCAATGTTCTTATGTTTTTTTAGTCAGTCCCTGAGAACCAAAATTAATTACTTACGGTTCCACTGATAGGTTCAAAGGTTAGTCTTTCATAGTGGACTGCAAGGAAGATAGTCTACGCCTCTCTCATTCCGTGTAATGGTTTATATTCCTATTGTTCTTAAAGGGGCGTCGATTACTTTTGTCCCAAGCGTAGAGGTATTGAACGAAACATATAGTCCATTACCGCTAATTACGTGCTAATTAACAGATGAATAAACATATAGATTTTTTTTTGGGGGGGTCATTGCATAGTATCCTACGTTAGTTTTCACATCTAAAAAAAGGTGCAAATAGGTGAATAGAGGACTCGCTCCATTAAGATATTCGGCAGTGGTCGATATTGCTCCTGTCCCTAAGTCATTTTTTTTACATTTTCTTCTTTTTCTTCTTTGAAAGTGAAATGGCACAAAGGAGAATAGAGTTACAATTATGTAGACACTTTATTAAGAGACAATTCTTTGGATAAGCTCAGATAATTTCTACTTGATTGTCTCTGTTAAAAACTCCGACAGGCGTTGATTTTTTTTTTCTCTCTCTTAAACTTAAATTTCACGATGGAAATGAAAATGTAGAATCAAGTGAAAATGGGAAAAAGAGAAAGAGGATGAGAATGAGAGAAAGAAAATGAGAATAAGAAAAAATATATAAGTAAGGGAGAGAGAGAGAGAGAGAGAGAGAGAGAGAGAGAGAAAGAGAGAGAGAGAGAGAGAGAGAGAGAGAGAGAGAGAGAGAGAGAGAGAGAGAGAGAGAGAGAGAGATAACGAGGAAGAGAGATAGAATGAGAATAGAAAGAGAATGATTTTCATAATTTTCTTTCTCTCATTCGCATTCTCTTTCTCGCTTTCCCATTGTCTCTTCATTCTACAGAGAGAGAGAGAGAGAGAGAAAGAGAGAGAGAGAGAGAGAGAGAGAGAGAGAGAGAGAGAGAGAGAGAGAGAGAGAGAGAGAGAGAGAGAGAGAGAGAGAGAGAGAGAGAGAGAATGAGAATGAGAATGAGAGAGAAAATGAGAATGAGAATGAGAGAGAAAATGAGAATGAGAATGAGAGAGAGAGAGAGAGAGAGAGAGAGAGAAAATGAGAATGAGAGAGAAATGAGAATGAGAAGAGAGAGAGAGAGAGAGAGAGAGAGAGAGAGAGAGAGAGAGAGAGAGAGAGAGAGAGAGAGAGAGAGAGAGAGAGAGAGAGAGAGAGAGAGAGAGAGATAGCGAGAGAGAGAGAGAGAGAGAGAGAATGAGAAAGAAAGAAATAATAAAAAAGAGAGAGAGGGGAGAAGGAGAAGGGAGTGAGGGACGACACTTTTCGGGTTCATCGAAGCAGAATTGAAGACGTGGCCATCAGCTGACCGCGAAACAAGTGAGTTCTCTGGCTTTAAGAAACCGATTTTGTAAAAGTGTGCCTTGTCACTTTCCGTCCCTCAAATTTTAAAATATTTTCATTTAAAGCGAATATTACTGATTATTATTATTTTTTTTTTTATTATGGGTGTTGTCTATGCATTGTAGGGTTTTCCAGCATTGTTGTTATCACCATTATTGTTATGTTATTATTGTTATTATTTATTATCATTATCATTATTATCATTGTTCTTATTATTACTGTTGTTTTGTTGTTGTTATTATTATCATTATTATTATTATTTATTATCATCATTGTTGTTATTATTATTACTATTATTATTATTATTATTATTACTATTATTATTATTATTATTATTATTATTATTATCAATTATTATTGTTATTATTATTATTATCATTATTATTTATTATTATTAATCTAATTTGTGCGTCATCATCATCATCATCATCATCATCATCATCATCATCATCATCATCATCATCATCATCATCATCACCATCATCATCATCATCATCATCATCATCATCGTCGTCATCATCATCATCATCACCATCATCATCATCATCATCATCATCATCGTCATCACCACCACCACCGTCAATGTCAGGAGTTGAATTAATATTTTGTAACATGAATCAAAGGAAGAAGGGATGTTTCAGTGAATCATTAATTTTCTCATTGTCATGGCACAGACATTGCTGTAAAAAAAGCTACATCAAATCAAGGAAGAGTAATGATAACAAAGACCGATTGTTTTCCATTGACGTGCTTCCAAGGTCTTTGATAATGAATGCTCATTGTAGTGGCTTTATCCGAGGCCCTCTGAATTGCAGGTGCTGGCAGACGTGAGTCCCATGGAGCTGGCCGTTTTCCGCTTCGTGGGGATTTTGCTCCCGACGCTTCCCTTGCTGATCCGCCGAGGGGACCCGCCTTTCCCTCGAGGCCGCCGCTTAATGCTTATGCTTCGGGGCCTGGTTGGAGCTACGTCGTTGATGCTCCAGTTCTACGCCTTCAGACACATGCCTCTCGCCGACGCGTCCGTCATTGTGTTCAGCGTGCCAGTGTTCGTGGCAGTGTTCGCGCGAGTGTTCCTCGGCGAGCCCTGTGGACTGTTCCACGGCGTGGTCATTCTGCTCACCCTCGCCGGCGTCATTCTCATTGCTCGGCCGCCGCTGCTCTTTGGCTCGCTCTCGGATGCTTACACGACGGAGAACTGGTGGGGCGCGGCGGCTGCCATAAGTGGCACAGTGGTAGCCGCCAACGTCTACGTGATACTGCGAGTCTTGAAGGGCCTGCACTTCTCTGTGATCATGACCAACTTCGCTCTGGTGGCCCTGGTACTCACGCCCCTCGTGTCGTGGTTCAGCGGCGACGGGTGCGTACCGCGCTGCGGGAACGAGCGCTATCTCATCCTCGCCATCGGAATTTTCAGCTTCGGCGGTCAGATCCTGCTGACGAAGGCGCTGCAGTTGGAGCAGGCCGGCCCAGTGTCCATCGCGCGGACAGCCGATGTGGTTTTTGCGTTTATATGGCAAGCGATCTTCTTCCAGGAATTCCCGGACTCCCTGAGTCTGATGGGAGCCTTGCTGGTGACATCCTGCGTGTTTCTGACGGGATTGAGGAAATGGGTCATCTCCCTCCCCGAGACATCGAGTGCGCGGCGGAGACTGCGCTGCCTCATGTGCTGACTCCGGCCCTCCAGAAGCCGTGAGTGGAGCAGCGCCACAAGCTGCCATGGCCAACACTGCGTGGCCTTCCACACTGGTATGGCTGAGAACCTGTGCGGCGCTAAAGACTGGTATGATTGAAATTGCGTGGCTCTTCAGTACAGATTGGTATGGCTAAGACCATATATTGCTAAGGAAGGGAATTTATAAGACACTGTGTCCCATTATGTATAGATTGGCATGACTGAGATTGTGTGGCCTTACAGTCTGCCATGGCTCAGACTGTGTAATTCTACAGACTGGCACTGGAAATTGTGTGGCCCCAATCTGCCATGGTTGAGACTGTGTAGATGTGCAGAATGGCTTTGTGGATCCAGTGTGGCCCAAAAAACTGCTGTGGTTGAGACTATGGTTCAATAGACTGACACCACTAGATTATGTGGTCCAGTGAATTGCCATAGATGAAACTGTGTGGCCCTCCAGTTTTGATTGTTAAGGTTTTTTGACATTGGCAATTCTTAAAACTTTAAATCTTACTTGGGGTTTTCTTCTATTGTGAGGAGTATGACCTGCTTCTCAGGTGACATTGAATAGTTTACTGTAGGTAAGAAAGTTGGTAATAATTCTCTTTTCACAAAGAAATTACATAAATTTCTTAAACAGGTATTGCCTAACCCATATGAAATGAAAGGCAGGAATTAAACGGGAAATATGAATAAAAATCTGCAATCATAGCAGAAAGAAATATTTAGATATATTAAACAAACATAAAAGTAATACGAAACTGAAATGATTATGGGTTGTTATTTACCTGTGAACATTATAACTACTAGTTTCACCTTAGTCTTACCATGATGACACATCCCTATGGGCCTGTGTCATAAACTCTGTTGATTGCAATACAGGCGTAGCTTTGCAGCACTGGACCTTAAAGGATTATCCTTAATAAGGACTTATCTAGCAGCAGTACTTTTAATTTTACCCCATTTTAACAAGTGTTTAAAAGATTCTAGTTTGTTCTTGTGTATATTTTGTTTTATGTCTTGTTTCTGTACTCGTATTATGAGAGTCCTTTTTCAACATCCTTCTGACAAGCACAATAAGCTTTTTCTGTTTTGATTTATGAATTCTCCACTGTTTTATATATTACTCCAAGTTTGATTATTATTTGCTATCTCTGTTTTTTCTGTGTGAATATCTTTCACGTCTTTCATCCAGCTACAACTTTCTACCTCATTTCTCTTTGTGAATAAATAAATAATTCAAGTAAACAAGCACATAATCATGCATGCACACAAACACATACATACTGGTAACATACACACGTATAACTACAAATAATATCTCTCTCTCCCTCTCTCTCTCTCTCTCTCTCTCTCTCTCTCTCTCTCTCTCTCTCTCTCTCTCTCTCTCTCTCTCTCTCTCTCTCTCTCTCTCTCTCTCTGCTCCTTTTCATGTTATCCAGAATTACTTTTTTTTCTTTTTTTCCTTTCCCTAAATCTGTCTTACCTTTCCCATTCCTTCCTCCTGCCCTTCCCCTTCTATCCTTTTCCTTTTTTCCCTATATACATTTTTTTTCTCGTGCCTTTCAGTTCAGCCAGGTACCAAATGAGCACAAAAGACCGAACAGTCACATATTTCTTGGAAAAGTCAATGGTACAAGTTCAAGGGAAACTGAATGTTCATCTTCAATTATCTGCATTTTCTCTTCTCTGCTTAATTCCACAGAGTAACTCACACCATCAGCATGTCACAGCACAAGTAAGAAGTTTAAGGCTGTGTTGGGCCTTGATGATATATTCTTGCTATAATAGTACATCAAAGGACTTGCTTACTGAACTGAATCATGCAGTCCCTAACATACTGTGCTACAAATAATTCTTGCTCATTCGAGCTTGGTTATGCTCTTCATGTTCACAATTGTCATTATATCATTACCTCTGTTATGAAGGGGGATCACATATATATCCCATAAAAGCTATAAGCCAGGCTTCCACCTAATTCCTCTGTTGATGAAATCCCTTACTCTGCATATCGTCCTTAAGCCATGCATGTTCATTGAGTTCTGAAGCCAACAGGAGGATGCGTTGCCCTTTACAGATGCTGTCTCGTCAAGTTTTCTTTGTCCTGACTCGTAGTTTTGAGGTGGTCGTGTGTGTTGTAGAGGTAGCAGCAGGGTGTTGGTTTCCCATCGTTCCCTCTCCTTACTGCATTTCTTGTTATTTTAGGTAGTGAGTATGGTGCCCATAATGTTCATGGTTGTGTTGTTGTCGTCTGTTGTTTTTAATCTTATGGATTATGTATTTATGACTGGAACTGTTCATGGACTCTTCATTTCAAATTGGTCTTCTCAAAAATTTGTTACCATATTACTCAAGCTACCTGTCATTTCTTTTTATCATTTTTATCAATATTTTTTTGATGATATAAGCAGAATAATATTGTTTAATTTGAAATTATCATCATGATTATAATTGTCATAAGTATGGTATCCATTATTTCCTTTAAGCAAATATCAAGCATAAAAAAATGAGTTTTTCATAGTTACAAATTATTATTTATTTTGTAACCATTTTAAAAGTGGTCATAGTATATAAGATGCTGGTAGTTACAACTAATTATTTTCTTTAGTGCCAAAATGTTCTTTTGACAGTAAAGTTTCATCTTATTTAAAGCTGCCGCTGAAATCTATTTCTTCCTTTTTCAGAAATATAACATGAAAATGATGAATTTAAAGCTTTTTAAATCTCTCTGTGTTGGTCTGTCTTTATCTCTGTCTTTCTACCTCTTCCTTTTCTATCCTCTCTCTTGGTCTCGTTCTCATTCTCATTTTCGTTAGCATTTGCATTCTATCTCTGTCTCTGTCTCTGTCTCTGTCTGTCTGTCTGTCTGTCTGTCTGTCTGTCTCTGTCTGTCTCTGTCTGTCTCTGTCTGTCTCTGTCTCTCTCTCTGTCTCTCTCTCTGTCTCTCTCTCTGTCTCTCTCTCTGTCTCTCTCTCTCTCTCTCTCTCTCTCTCTCTCTCTCTCTCTCTCTCTCTCTCTCTCTCTCTCTCTCTCTCTCTCTCTCTCTCTCTCTCTCTCTCTCTCTCTCTCGAGTTGAAAGCTTAATCAATATTATTGTCACTCTCTTAAAAGACGTTTATTAAACATCAGATATGAAAATAAAATTACAAGAAATCAGAAAAATAAATTAGTATTTGTGTGTTTGAATACTGTAAGAACTTTAAATATGCAGAAAATTACTTTTTGAAGATGTGTAAAATAGGAATTGTATCTTTGAAATTGAAATGAAAAATACTTACCATTTTTTTGAAGATTGAATTTTCTGGCGTGATGGAGTATTTCTTTTTTTAGAAGATAGAATTTTCAAGTTAGATTTGATATGCTAAATAAAATTTGAATACCTTGATTTTGTAACTTCCCTAATGTTTGAAAATAATAAATTAGTTGTCATGTTTTCAGAGATTTCTTATTTTAGATTTTATGTGATAGGACCAAGGCTGTAATAGTTAAACTGTAACAAACTGTCCTGTAAATATGAATCTTACAAGTGGATGTGAAAAAAAAAAAGTATGAAAAAGTATATACAGTGAGATTATGAATGTTTAAGGGTATTTCTTGTTAGTGGAAATTATGATATATACTTTACCTATGAGTGAAATGTAATCAAATTGATATATTAACTTAAGGATATCTGGATAAAAAACATATCAGCATTTTGTTGTTTAAGGTTGTATAAGATGAACAAAATCATCATCAATCAATAAGATGAAGTATGTTAAGAACCCATTCGTATATACTGTATACACATGCTTATGCACATTTACATTTCTAATTACACAATTATTATGCTCATTGCCAAATTCACACTCTTGCTTGCGCCCACACTTACACTCACACTCATATGCTCATACACAAAGTATGAAGACAAACACGTATCTTTGTAAATTTAAAATCAAATCCGATACAAATAGAAGGAAGATTGTGACACATGATTTTTAATTTTACTGCTGAGGACATTGCTTGGTATATCTGAGTATTATATTTAGACTGTATAACTTTCTTCAAAAGTGCTGATTACTCTGTTGCATTCCTCATAGTTGATAATGATCAGAATAATTATCATGCAAGAAGAGAGAGAAAAAAACTTCTGAATTTGAAATGAAGATAATCATGTCACAGATGCTAAGTTATACTTTCACCACAAAATAAACTATTGTTGTAAACCATTAAAAAGAGAAAATACATCAGAGGAAGGAAACGTTATATTGGTTATATGAATTTAATGTCAAAGTTAAAAGAGATGGATATTAATGTCAAAGTTTAAAGAATTAATTTTTAATGTCAGAGTAGAATTACATAATTTTATAGTCACTTGGTGTTCTTTTGTCACTTTGACTGAGGAGCATATATATTTCTCTAAAATGTAATGTGCAAAGCAGTATTACAACATTGTTTTCTTGAGCAAGACTATAGTAATTATAGAATCAACTTCATTCTATTGCAAGATTTTGAAAATTATGATTAGAAATTGGATTCAGGTTTTATTGCTCTATATTTGTACAATATATTTTCACTCAGTATTATAAATCTTTGTATATTGTTTTAGAAATTAAATTTGCCAAATTAGGATTAGTTTAATATTAACATTCAGCATGAAATAGTAACAAAGAGTTTATGAATGTTTCAGTTCTATATGTTATGTATTCAATATTTCAGTCAGTATCGTGTGATTCAATTTACAGATGACATCTT